TTATTTTATTTTATTTTATTTTATTTTATTTTATTTTATTTTATTTTATTTTATTTTATTTTATTTTATTTTATTTTATTTTATTTTATTTTATTTTATTTTATTTTATTTTATTTTATTTTATTTTATTTTATTTTATTTTATTTTATTTTATTTTATTTTATTTTATTTTATTTTATTTTATTTTATTTTATTTTATTTTATTTTATTTTATTTTATTTTATTTTATTTTATTTTATTTTATTTTATTTTATTTTATTTTATTTTATTTTATTTTATTTTATTTTATTTTATTTTATTTTATTTTATTTTATTTTATTTTATTTTATTTTATTTTATTTTATTTTATTTTATTTTATTTTATTTTATTTTATTTTATTTTATTTTATTTTATTTTATTTTATTTTATTTTATTTTATTTTATTTTATTTTATTTTATTTTATTTTATTTTATTTTATTTTATTTTATTTTATTTTATTTTATTTTATTTTATTTTATTTTATTTTATTTTATTTTATTTTATTTTATTTTATTTTATTTTATTTTATTTTATTTTATTTTATTTTATTTTATTTTATTTTATTTTATTTTATTTTATTTTATTTTATTTTATTTTATTTTATTTTATTTTATTTTATTTTAATTTTTTAAAAAGATTTTTTAAAATTCAAAAATACTCATTTTCAAATACTAGGAAATATTTTTATTTTTCTCATATTTTCTCTCTTTTTCAGAATGGAATATTAAAATGTTATGTTTTCAGATAGGTTAAAAACTCCTTTATTTTTGTCTACTCTTAACTGTAATTCTTCACAGAAACTATATGTGAGTGTAGTGTTTAGGAATAACCTGACATCCTATAAAAATATTTACTCTACAAGAATGTGAGATCTTATTGAAACTCTCTTTTTCCTTCACATTGTACAACACCTAGAATGCACATATGCAGTTTGATATCAAAATGCCACAGCGCTCCCTTGTTTAGCAAAGTTGATAACAAAGAAAATGTTATACCAGCTCTTTAAAGCCAGAAGTGCTTTCCTCTCCACTTACACATTCAGTTCAAGTTGCAGCCACATAATTGGGTCTCAGATACCTGAGAAATTGCCTCTCTCTCTCTTTCTCGAATCCCCATGCCCAAGTTAAGAACTACTATTAAAGGTCTCACTTTCATTCCCCAATTGCTTTTCTCTCAGAAAGCTTCACTGTGGTACCCTAGCAATTTACTTCCTTTTATCTGTTGATTTTCAAGTGTGTTAAGTCAAAGTTAGAGAGTAGAAAACTAACCTATTTCTCAGGTTTTTCTTATGGATGAATTTGGGGTATCTTACGGTATTTTAACAATGCAGTTCAGTATATTACGTTTAGCTCAATGTTATATAATCACCAGTTATACAGTCTTATTATTCCTTGTGTGTGCATACATGGGAATTCTCTCACTTGATATGTTTACGGCTCACAGTACTGAAAAAAACAGAGAGAAAATGAAGAGATTTGGGGTCATAGACATGTTGGGTTCTCTGGATTTCATCTCAGCTGCAGGTCTGCTCTTTTCAGGAGGGTAAATGTGATCGACAACTCAGTTACAAAACAGATATATAGACAGACAGATGAATCTCTTGCCACATAAAGATCAAGCTGACATGTAGCTGTGAAGGAAACCTTTGTCTTCCATAGCTGTTAGCATTAATAGCTATATTCGTTGCACATGTCTACATCTGTGTTTGTACGGGATTATTGGTGAAAAGACTTCATTATTTCTCAACATCAGTTCACATTTCATATATGAATGTGGTAGTCTTTTCTTCGGAAGTAAGCAAACTTTTATATCACTCAACCTAAATTAAATTTTAGGGAAACTGGACATTAATCATTCTCAAAATCACATGCTGGGAAAAAGTGAAAAAACATCTTAAAATAGCAGTGGTTTTCATCTCTAAAACCAGCCATCTAAAAGTTAGACATAGCCTCTGAGCTGCTTCTGTTGTCAACGGACAAAAATTAGTGCTCCTACATCTGAGTTGTTGCTTCAGCTGCCCACCACTTCTCAGTTATGAACACATGGACACCTCCACTTCCTAATATTTGTTTCCCAGGCTGCATATGCCTGAGGTAAATTTCTTTTTGCTCTGTTTAATCATTTCTG